GTACTCTCAAGCATGATCATTATCACTAACATCCGCTTTTATTTTCTAATTGATAGATGCATCTTATATTGATTCCCTATCTTCCCTTCTTTTAGATATGACTTCCAAATTCTTTTGTAATTTGAAAATAGGCAGGGATTTTTAAGACTCAAACAGATTTTCTCTTTCTTCAGAATCCAAATTATCAATATCTGACTTAATTTATCACTGTGCCTCCATTGCCTCAACTGTGAAATAAGGGCAACAATAAGGATTCAATAAGAAAATTCAAATAAAGTCTTTACTAAACCATAAGTGATTAATAAATATCTACTCTTATTGCTATTATCCTCACTAACTTTCCATTCACTATTGAGGAAAATTTTATTGCTATATATTATACATTATTGGTATATGTATAAAATCTTATCTATTTATGGCGAAATGTTCCAGAGCTCCACTGGATGCAGTAAACTAGGGAGCAAAGGGAAATAGTGTCACAGACCTGCGTTCTAATCCTGGTTCTGCCACTAAATTGCTACATGACTCTGGACAATTCATTTTAAAATGCATCCCAATTTTTCCTTCTGAAAAAGCTTACCTTGGATATGAAGATTAAATAAGATAATGCAAGAAGAATTTTTTTTTTTAAAGTACTGTAGTAGTCATATGGTGAAAAGCTCCTCTCTTTGGGAATAGTTCACAAGATATTAACAAGAGAGATAAATGGCCATGACCCTTTCACATACATACTTAAATGACAGCACAATAATCTGAATTGCCACACAAATGATTTTAGAATGTTATCAAGTCATGGCTATTTTAAAAATATAATGAGCAGGAATATTTAGTGTTTTCAATAGTTCTGCCAAATGACAGGAAAAAACATGGACACAAAAGTAATCTCAGGTGTTTTTTAGGTAGCATCTGCTAAAATCCTCACCTGTTACCTTTGCAGAAACCCAAAGCCTCTGGCTTTAATTTAGTATAAATTCAAATTACACACATATACATGTGTATGAACAACGGCAACTGCTTGTGTTGGTAATTTCCATCCGTAGCTTCCTGTACTCTAGGACATACCTAATATTCCTGTAAAATTATATAATACAGTTCGTAATTTTTAATCTTAATTTTACTAAAAAGAAAACTGAAGAGTTATAACATTTCCTTCATACATATGAATTAATTACTACGTTTTACAGGACCAAACAAAAGTCTGACACCTATTTTTGTATCAATGCTTAATAACTTGAAAAGATAAGATATAGGCCTTTGATAACATACTGTGTGGAATATTACCTAACAAAATATGGGAAATAAAGTTATAAAACTCATTTTTTGTAAGGAATACAGTACTGAAAAGCAGTGTGAAAACATTTTAAAATAAGATGTATTTTAAACACAGAAATGTCATTCTTCATTTCAAATAAATTGAGTTATGAAGTCTCTTATGAATCTTACCCTAATGGCAATTGCTTAATTTACTAATGTCTAAGTTTGCATTATCATATATTAAGCTTTTTTAATGAGGGGATATAACATCCTCAAGATATTATAGACCTTAATTTAAAATACCTAAATGCAATTTAAAATATGTAAGTATAAATTTAAAAAAAGCTGTATAGAAATAATTTATAAAATTTTATCAACTCTAACCAAAGTTTAAAAATTAAAATTTTATATTTAAAAAACTAGTTTAAAAACAGTTAATATGAAATGAGACAGAACAAAGATAGATGGATTTAAGTTTATAAATAAAACTGAAACACAGAAAAGAGCACCATGTCTACCTGTTTATAATCAACAATATTCAAATACCAACTAGTTTTAATATACTATATTAATTTTATAGTACTCTCACAAAACATACTGTATCTAACTCCACAGACCTAATACGTGTGAATCCTTGTACTACAGACTACACAGATGTGGTTAACAGTACAGTGCATCTATTCTTCTTCACAGTACATCCTCAAAGGGTTTGTATATTGAATACAATAGAAGAGGAATACATCTACTGAAGATGCCATGTTAATATACTCAAGGCTTTGTCAAAGTATATTTCAGTAATATAGTGAAAGTAAAATCCTGCTGATTTTAAAGACTAACATATACCCAAATGGAAATAGGCGGAGTCACGTTATAGGCCTTAAGGAAGTTGTTTTCAGAGTCTGTGTCTCTCCTAACAAAAGTTGACTCAGTTAGACTTTAATGTACAAGAAGTACGAATTAAGCCTTCTAATGTGTCACATAATAACACAAACTCTGAAGTATATTGGTCATGAACTTTAGAAAACACTCTAAAATAGATCAGTTATAACTGTTTATGCCTCCATCTTCTCATGTTCTCAACCACATGAGATGGCTAAGTATGGCTAAGTAGTCCAGGATCTTACCACCAACTTGTTCCAAGTTTTTATAAATATATATAAAATCTTCAGTTGGTAAAAGTATATCTCAGTGGTTTACCAAAAATGGGAATAATATTCTTCTGGCCTGAATTAGGAATCTCTAAATAAGATCAACTTGCAAAGCACACAGAAGACCCTCAAATATTTGTCAAATGAGTAAACGGGCATCAAAAAGTCTGTTTCCCATTAATACAACTGCCTGAAAAGAAACAGTGAAAAAGGAAAAAAAAAAAAAATGGCATTCCAAAAATATCCTTAAATGAGATGCCTGTAAAGCACTTAATTTTTACAAAGTGCTTTACAGGTATCTCATTTAAGGATATTTTTGGCCCATAGGAAGCTCCACGTAAGTATCTTCATTACTGTTATCCTGTTAACTTAATATGGACCATGGCAATCTGTATAGATGCATCAACATAAGCCATTACCACCACTGGCCAAAAGAATTCATATGTGAATTGCACTACTAGTGAGGATATAGGTTGTATCATCTTCATAGGTGAAAAAAGGTCTATCTTACAAGTTTAACAACCACTCTCATAATAAAAGCTGACTCAGTAAGACTTTAACATACAAGAAGTATGAATTAAGCCTTGTAATTTATCCTACCACAATAAATTAATCCCTGATAATCCAATGTGTCTATCTACTATATTTATGTAATTTAGAATTTCATAAAGAACTATTAATGTGATTTGTTTTAACTTATTTTGAGGAAATGCAATTAAAAAGAAAACATCAAAATCCCAATTGATAATTGAGCTGCAAAAGTTGTCCTTTATATTGAAACAGACTGTAATATAGAAGACTGCTTAAAATAATGTGTTTGGGATTTGCTCTCTTACACTTTGTTGATCACAACAGAGATGAAGACTGAGGTAGTCTGAAAATTCTGTGAGGATTAAATCAGACTACATTCTCCATATTCTTTAGGGAAGTAAGGTTTAGGCAGTGTGAAGTACCCTCAACTTTCAGGGACCAAGAATAACAACTGCTGCAATGAAAGAGCAGAGTAGTTAGGGTTAAGGAGCTGGTTACGTCTATAATGAAACTAGCTGGAATACCTACTTGCTGACATTATCAGTCAACTCCATTGGTCTGAGTTGAGGCAGTGCTTTTGATGAAACATACAGGTTTCTAAGATAAGAAGCTATTTTAAACACAATAGGGATATTCTCCATTTCAAAGAAATTCAGTTATAAAGTCTCTTAACAAAGCTTACCTGAATGATCCCCTAATATATAAATTACAATAAAAATGTACTCATGACATGTAACAGGGGAAAGGTCTACTACATAGTGTTATAAATAAATGATAACATATAACATAAAAATAATTTATAAATGACAAATATAACTGTGTCAAGGGGTTTGGCTAAAGATATAACTATGTAGTTTAATCGAAGTTATCAACAAAAGTAAAATTAAAAATTTCATATACAATTCAGGGGAGGTTAACAGCGGTGAGCCTCGTAAATAAAACTGGGATAAGCCAAGCAACAGAGATGAGTCCTAGCTGTAATTATGCTATACCTTTACTTCTCATTTGAAAACAATGGCTAAAAAGTAATAAAAAGTTCTTTATAAAATATAAACAATAGTTTTTGTGTGTGAGGGACAGTTAAGGCAAAGAAGTACAGGTAAAATTTAAAATGCATTTTCAGAATAACAATCTGTGAAGGCAAATAAATTAGATTTCTATATAATGAAATATCTAAACTATCTTTAATTTCAAATATTAGAAATATAATCTAGATTAGGATTCCCTTTTTTTTATAGTTGTTTTACATAATCTTCACATGGTTTCAGTAATTTCACCAATGAAATGCCTAATTTAAATACTTTTCTATTAAAAATTAGCCAAAATATGCATCTTTCAAGTAACGAAAAATTCCTCCATTGAATAGAAAGAAAATAAAACCTCTAAATAAAACAAAAGAACCAAAAGTAACTATGAAGCTAATTTAAAATGTAATTAGAAATACACATGGCAAAGTAATCTTACAGAAGATATTGAAACAGAGAAGATATAAAGGGGGAAGCATACTGTTTGAAGGTTTTATTGTAAAATGCTATTTCTGAGAAGATCATTCTAAAAAAAATCCTTTTCTTTTTCACTTAATTAGGTTGCTAGAACTACGAGAGCTATCAAATAGGCAGCAGATGAAGAAAATGAGGACTTTCTTCTCTTCTCCAACTAAAACACTATTAACGAAGTGAATATCTTTTTTTATTAGTGTTTAAAGTTGTGAGTTGTCAATGACATAATGAAATGATTAAGATATATCAAAACTGTAACTTCATACTGTCCAAAAGTGATAGTCTCTTACAATATTAATTTTAAAACTCATACAAAATAATCATAGATGAAATGTTAGATTATGCTGGTATACATGGTAAAACACCACAGTTTACTTTGTTTGAATGAATAGGATATGTTTATAACACAAGTGAGTCACCATACAGCAATCAGACTCTTCTAAGAACCTAAAGAGTCTATATACCTGATTTATGTTTTAGATGTAAAAATCATTCTGACAGTTAAAGCTATTAAACAAGATATTTCAGTATTACTTGCAATTCACTCATTACTAGATATATGTGTTACCTCAACAATATCCGAGTTGGTTCTGCTTTCATGAGGTTCATTATATTCTGTATACTTGAGAAGAACTTTGTCCATATCAGTACTAGCATATTGAAACAGTTTGTTAGAGCTGTTGAAAATGATGAGTGCTATTTCACAGTCACAGAGCACACTAAGTTCATAGGCTTTCTTCATTAATCCAAACTTTCTCTTTGTAAAAGTGACCTAAACAATAAAAAAGGTATATTTTTATTAAAAGCATTAGTAGTACTTGAATATAGTCTATCTGAAGATGAATCTTCTTTTTAGTACTGAGTCAGATTTCAAAGATGGAAAAGGTTCCTAGCTTCATGCTCCATATGAGCCTTCCCGCTTCCATTGTGCTACGGCCCTACCTTTGTTTTGTATATGCAAGCTCTCTGACAGAGCTGTCTCCTGGGGAAGTATTTCTTTATCCTTAGCTGCCACTCCACTACAGAGGGTGAGGCATCACAGAAGGAAACAGTTGATCAGTGTTCCCTTATCATTCAGTTAAAACTGTTACCATCAGAAACCCCAAATCCCAGCCAGGTAATCTAGCATCACCCAGACTTTAATCCATAAACAACTAAATACATCCACTAATCTAACATATTTCTCCTCCCTCCCAAGCCCTTCTTTATTGTACCCACTGAAATTCACAGCCTGGGATCAGCAAATTCCCCAAAGTCCTCAAATTCTTAACTGTTTCTTTCTTTAACTGAAACCTGTTACCTGAAATCCTCTCTAACAGAGACCACCCCTCCAAATTTTAAATTTACATCCCTTATACTGACTGAAGGCCCTAAAAGGGGTGTCTTTTTATGCTCTGTATTCTCTCTTCCACAGTACTTTCTTTCCTTCCCCTTCAAGAACTTCAGGAATTTTGAAGCTCATGACATAAAAAAATTATACCACCCAACAACTTTCCTTGGGGTAAGCAAGAGTTACCCTTGATCCCTCTTCTAATAAGGGATGGGAAAGGAGGTGTAAGGGAACTTTCCATACTTTCTACTCAATGCTGTTGCGAACCTAAAACTTTTCTAAAACATAGTCTATTTTTAAAAGTTTTTAAAAAATAGTAAGAATGTACTTTTGAATAATCTTTGCAACTGTGAAACAACATAAAGTTCAGCAATTTTCCCCATGGATATCTATCATGCGATTTTCTTCCTATAAACTTTAACTATTGGCCTAGACTTAAATCAGTTATTGCAGTAGCTATTAAAGAAATACACATCTCCAGTATCATGAAAAGCAATTACTGCCATTAGAAATTTTTTTCATGGGCATAACTTTAATATCCTGTTACATTACAGGTATAATATGTATATGTAAAAGCAAAACAACAACAAAATGCATTTCACATGTACAATTCAAACACATTTCTGTATTTTTAAAGTCTATTTCCTATGTAGCATGTTAAAATTAAACAGTAGTATAGTAGTTCAATGATTTTCACTAAATTTAAGCAGAGTATCTGTTTTCTCCCTATGGTAACACCATAAGCATTTAACATCTACACATCTTAGCATTTAATCACTTTAATCACTCTTAATTTTATGCAGATCTATTCTCTTCAATATTCTCAAAACCTTGTTTCCCCTGTATTTAGCAAGTGCACAAAGCACAATACTCCACGTATTATATGACCGCTCAAATATTCTATTAGCTAGTAAGCTGAATGAAAATAGAGTTGAGAGGTTCTTTAAATTTTCATTTAACAAGATAATTTAACCAGGCAATACAGACCAGGCAATACAGCCTGGTCTGTTCATGATACATATTTACATGTAAATTGTGCTATATATCCAAATCACCTTTTATGAATTATCTTTGAAAACTGGCCTATATTTGATACTTTAAAATTTTCAATATAAAACAGAAATTACAAGTAAAAAACCTCAACATTTGTTGATGTACTTGTTTTTACAAATAGATTTTGGCAACAAACAAAAACAAAATAGAATACAATGGGGAAAGGCAATGAGGGAAGAAATGAAAAAACACCCTCACTTATCACAAGAGTATTAAGCCTTAGAAGATGAGATAATAACAAAAGATAACAGTCACAAAGCAGGAAAATAAGCTGTTGAGAGTCTACATTTTGCCTTGATTTTAGTGTTTTCAGTTCAAAAGAAGTTTTTGGTTGTACAAACCAAATACAGAGGAAATACAGAGGAAAATACAGAGGAAGGAAAATACAGAGATTTTCCTTCTACACACTAGCTTTCTAAGACATCTAAAAGTGAAAAATCAGCAAAAGCCTAATAATCAGTATGATGTTAATTAGTAATTTTGCAATACAGCCACGTTTTAGTTCATAAATTTCATATGAAAGAAAAAAAATCTAAAATTGGGCTAGAGAATACTAACAACGTAATTACAACTCAATATCAACTTTACTATTCTAAGACAATACTTTTAAACTGATGATTTTAATTACATTAAAATGATGTCAATTCTTTAAAGTTCAAAAGAAATCACAAAATTTAGTTGTAAATTCAAAACGGAATAAAGTCATGTTTACTACTCTCTACTTCTCTAAAAGCATGCACACATACATACATATACAGAATAAAGAGAGACTGGGTTTTCCTCAAGTAAAGTAAGAACCCTGAACTACAGATTTTCATCTGCCAGATTTGGTGAAATTGATAAAAATGAAAGTGGATTCAGAGAATTCACACTGAGTTCTTCATAAAAGTGGCAATATACTCCGAGAGGATCCTCTGATTAGTGCTAGAAGATTCACAAGTGTGAGAAGCCCAAGAAGTAAGTGGAGACTCTTGTTCTAAATGCAGAATGCCAGGCAAGGTGAAACCAAAACAAATAAACTGAAAAAAAATAATTTTATAGGAAAACTATTTTTGTTAACTCACACCTAATATAATTGCCAAAAATGTCAGAGATAACAGACCCAAAATGTGAGTTGATATGGCTCAGAAGAGAAAAAAAATCAAATCACAGCAGAGGTTAAAGCACAATAATAAAAGTCAAAGAATCGAAACAGAAAACAAATTAAAATGAATAGAAATAAGTTGTTTGTATTGTTGACAGATAATGAAGATACCAAAAAAGCCCAGGGCAATTAGAAAAGGAAATATATTTATTAAAAAAAATAAAACAAAATACTGAAGGGTCATACCATTTCTTTAAAAAGTGATAAGGAATAATCAAATTCATGGCATATTCAGATTAAGTTACTGAATGTCAAGGTCAAAGAAAGAATACTATGTGGACCAAGGCAGGAAGTGAGTCACTTTTAAGAAGGGAAAAAACTCAGTCTGGTGTTAGAATTCTGGCAATATTCAAAGTCAGAAGACCAAATCTCTATGATGTTCTGGGGAAAAGGTTCAGGCATAGGGTCTATACCTAGAACATTAGAGCTAGCCAAATTGGACTTCAAATATAAAGACAATAAACATTTTCTAACATAAAAAAAAAAAACTCAGGAAGTATTAACAGCCATAAGCGCTTGTTAGGGGGCAAAAAACCCAACAAGCATTACTTGCTGATAAAAACCCAGTCATCTGAGTAGAATATAAGTTGAAAAAAGTTCAATGCTGCACACTCAGCTTCTAAAACAAAACTACTGAGTGGCAGTGAGTCGGTGCTAAAAAATTTTTGTTGAATAAATCTGTGAAGGAATAATGAAGAAAAACTGAGAAACCCCAGAGGTTATGCTGGAAAATGTACAGGGTCAGGGGTGTGGAGGCTCATAGCCTGGAGAAGAAAACAGCCAGTGAAGCTATGAGAAGACAAAGTTTTAAAAGAGCAGTTTGGGTTCAGCTTCTGCTTCTCACCTCCACTGCCTCAATGCCTGCCACCTCACAACAGAACTGGCAGCCATGCTGATGCAGACGGATGTCCTCCAGAATAAAACCTGCGCGGCACAGAAGCTCTGCTGGAGATAGGAGTTGAATATATCAGGTAGAAACTGACTAACCTCTAGCAGTGTGACTTGTCAACCATTCTTACTCAGAACCTCTAAGTTTGGTGGATTACCAGGTAGAGAAAGTATCTTCTTCCAATGTTTTTCTCCTGGTAGGGGGTGGGGGGATCGCTCTGTGTGGAGCTGCAATCACACTCTTTTCATATACTAGCACTTCTTTAATGCCTGGGGCCCTCTAACAAATTTACATATCAACTGGGATGGTGTAAACTAGTACAAATATATACAAGATCATAGGGAATAAAAAATCAACTAGACTAGTAGGTCAAGAGATTTATCAGACTAGCTAAAAAACCAAAATCCAGCCTTTCATACTATCTGTAAAAGACATACCTAAAATATAAGGATACAGTAAGGCTGAAAGTTAACAGAGAGATTCAGACCTATGAAGAAAATACTGGCTGGGCACCATGGCTCACATCTGTAATCCCCACACTTTGGGAGGGCCAGGTGGAAGGATCACTTGAGCTCAGGAGTTCAAGACCAGCCTGGGCAACATGGTGAGACCTCATGTCTGCAAAAGTACAAAAATTAGCCAGGCGTGGTGTGCAATACCTGTAGTCCCAATTACTCTGGAGACTGAAGCAAGAGGATCACTTGAGCCCAGGAGGTCAAGGCTGCAGTGAGCCACGATCATGCCAATGCACTCTGGCCTGGGTGACAGAGCAAGACCCTGTCTCAAAAAAAAAAAAAAAAAAAAAAGGAAGAAAGGAGAGGAGAGGAGAGAAAGGGAGCGGAAGACAGAGGAAGGGAGGGAGGAAGGAAAAGAAAGGAAAAAAATAAAAGGAAAGGAAGAAATGTGTAGCTATATCAAGGTGAGATAAGGTAGATTTAAGACAAATATTCCTTACTGAGGATAAAGATGGTCAATATGTATGGCAAAATTCGCTGAGAAGGTACAACTCTAAATATGTACAAGTCTAATGAAACAGTCCCAAGATGTATAAAACAATAAGCATTAAATGAATAAAATATACAGAGAAATTGACAAATCCACCATTGTAATAAGTACAATTATTGATAGGTCTCAATGAACAAAAAACAAAAAGTCACAAAGAATACAGAAGGTTTGAACACAACAATGAGAGTGATCTAAAAGATACATGGAGACACACGCATCCAACAATTAAAGAATACGTATTTACCCAACTCCATTTGGAACATTCAAAAAACCAATCATGATTTAGGAAATAAAGCAAATCTTAACACGCTTTAGAAGGCTCACAATCTACTGAAATAAACGCAATAGGAA